AGTTCAAAGCAGGAAGGAGTCTCAGTGCTTTCCTATGAAGAGCCCCTAAAGAGCTGCATATGTTTAGCCTCAGAAGAGAAGGTTGAGAGGAGACATAATATCCATGTATAAATATTTGAAAGGATGCCATAAGGAAAAGGGAGCAAGCTTGTTTTTTGCTGTCCTGCAGACTACGACCCAGAGCAGTAGGTTCAAATTACAGGAAAGGAGATTCAACCTGAACATTAGAAGAACTTCCTGGTCATAAGAGCTGTCCAAAAGTGGAATTTTCTGCCTTATAGTATAGTGGAGGTTCATTTGGAAGCTTTAAAACAGAGACTGGATGGCCATCTGTCGGAGATGTTTTGGCAGGGGATTGGACTAAATGGCCCATGTGGTCTCTTCCAACTCTATTATTGGATGATTCCACAATCACGCATAGGAGAGTAGATAAAAATGCACAATATTGAAGAAACCAGTCTATTTTGCATTCAGACTTATGTCTCAATTTTCATGGAGATATATTAAGTTGTCTTCAACCTTTATCCCGGGGAATTGAAAGGATATTGTGAGTGACTTTCCTATGAATTGTTAGAGAATGCCCACCCCAGGTGGTTTTCAATCTGTGGATCTCCAGATGTTTTGGCCTTCAACTCTCAGAAATCCTAACAGTTGGAAAACAGGCTGGGATTTCTTGGAATTGTAGGGCAAAACACCTGAGGACCCATATGTTGAGAACCACTGTTCTAGATGTTGCACACAGGGCTTTTTTCACCCTGTATTTCCATTTATTTATGGGGCCTGCCAAGTGTCATTAGATGATGCTGGCTTGGCCCTGCCCACATTCCTCCCAAAGTGGAGGGGAAGCGTTGCAAGATCCTTCCTCTTCCATGACACAGAGAAAAGTGTTTTTCAATTAGCTCTGACAGAACTACCTGCACTTTCCTCTCCAAATCCCCATATGATGGGGGAAAGAGCAGTGGGACAATACGCGTTGCCACCCTTTCTCCCATATGATGTGGACAGGGAGAGTCTCCACCATTTGATGGGGAAGGAGGGAAGACATGTGGAGTGCCATGAGCTGCCCCATGCACCATGCCAGCAAAACAGCATACAAATGTCAGCAAAATGACACGGCCCCAGGGGTTGTGCGAAGAGGTCCCTAGATCGTATTTAAGTGTTCTAACTGTGCTCCTGAGAAGAGATAATCAGTTGCTACCACTACTAAATTAATGACCAGTAGGACACTTGCATATCTATCTATCTATCTATCTATCTATCTATCTATCTATCTATCTATCTATCTATCTATCTAAGTTACATGAGATAATGTTTCTCAAAACAGTAGATGTACGTTAGCAAAAGATGCAGTATGGAATCCATCAAATATCACTTTGTCTATTGATCTCATCATATGGGGCTACATTTGGCAGCAAATGCCAATCTTGCCCCAGTTACCCACAGAGCCAGCCAGTTCTCATCAAACAATATCGTGCCAGCTTTGTGGGTGCAGAAAGGTGGAACTGGCATGCCACTGCCACTCTGGCAACATGGGAAGCTTCCCATGTTGCCCATCTATGGCGGGAAAGATGTCTCCCCGAATCCTGTGTATAATGCACATTTGGGTGGAGGGGAAGAAATTGTTTGTATGTGCTTGTTACACCTAGTGAAACTGTCCTCAATGAACTATTCGAGTGCTTCCCCCTATTTTGTATACTTCTGTAAAACCTAGAGTTCCTCAGAACCTACTGATACATCCCTCTTGTGGGTCAAGCCCTACAAAAATCACAATCTGACCTTTGGAGACTGAATGATAGGACTAATGATGGACATTCGAAGATCAACAGACCACCATTACAACTTGGGTTTTTTGACCACACTTATCCTACTATTTTTCTGCTTTATATGTACTCTGTCCAAATATTGCAAGAATGTTTTGATAGATAGGAAGGGAATTTGAATTGGATTTGACTTGATAAAGGTTTAGTTTTCTTTATAACCTTCAAAGGGTCATTTCAGATTATTTGGATGGGTGAAATAACAACTTATGTATCAGAATATTTCCATCCCACCCTACATCCCAGGTTGGTGAATAGGTAAAGCAATAACAACTATCCAAAGAAACATCTTAAATACCTTAACAAGTTGAAACAGACTTAAGAGAGTAAGACAGTTTTTAAACCCTGTGATAGAAAAATGGGGTGTAAAGAAAACTGTATAACAGAAACTATTCTTTCCTCACCTTATTATATTAATGACGGTGGGGCAAGTCAGATATACAATCAGAAGTAGTACAAATACCTATACTTAGAAGTCTTTAATTCTCCATGTGCATTTTTCTGTTAGCGTTCTGGAATTCTAGTTAGAAGATGAAGCCTCACAAACAAAGGCAATAACACAACACTGAAATCTTCCTATCCCATTGTAGTCACACGCACAAAGCAAAAATTTCCCAGGACCGTTATTCTGAATATCTCTGGAAATATTAAGTGGTCATGAAATGATGACTTTGGTTAGGGGACAGACAACAGAGTAAACTGAATGAAATGGCTGAAATGCCACATAGGGGGTACTTCACACAGCAGTGTTTTGCTGCAGACCCCACTTGTCTCTTGCATCATGAATTCAAGTGAATTTAGCAAGCATTTTCAGTTCCTTCAGAATAATGGTTTGGTTCTGGGGACAGTATTCAGTCAATGGACTAACCCTAACCTCTCAACAAAGGATTCTCCCAGGCAGTAACAAGCCACACCTACAAACTGTCAGGCCATCAAATGCTAATCAAGGTGGCCAGTTTAAATATACACAGCTAGCTTCAACAGACAAGAGTTATTTCTTCCACCTTGGACTTTCCACAGATATATAAACCCAATTTACCTAGTTTCCAACAGACCTCACAACCTCTGAGGATGCCTGCCGTAGATGCAGGCGAAACGTCAGGAGATAATGCTTCTAGAACATGACCATATAGCCCGAAAAACCTTCAACAACCCAAAGGGGCTATTCTTATTTTCATATAGTCTTGTGGGGTTTATTGTCCCTAAAAGGGGAGAGGGTGAGCTTCATTTTCAAACTCCAACAGACAAGGTGAGCAGTTCTCTCCTCTAATTATCAGAAGTGAAAGGGAGCAGGAAACTGAATTCTCTGGGAGGTTTGAATGACTTCCATCATCCCAGGAATTAGGATGTCAGCCTCAGAGACTGGGCCATAAAGGGAAATTAGTTCCTAAGCTATAATGAAAAGGCGTGAGACTTTGATTACAGGAAAACGCTCTGTGTATTATCACACTTACATTCTGGCTTGTGCAAAGGCTGCTAGTATTGAGAGAGAGACATAGTGTTTTTTCTTGACTTTGTTTGCAAAACTGGAAATGAGCTTCTCCGGAGTTGTGACAATTCACACCTTATTTTATCAATACAGTTTGCAGCAAAAACACGTTGGATGGTTTCCTTGTTGTTTCTGGTCTTGGTGACCTTTTAGTCTCAGGTGAAAAGGCAACTATTTTGGAAGGAATTTTCAGAGGGTGGACCAGGTGGTTTAAGCATTTTGGCACTAATTAATGGTTTATGGTTGCTTCTATGCTTTGTTCTTTGGCGTTTTTATTGCAACAATGCTAAAAACATCATGCTGTTTATGGCAGATAACATGGTTTAACATTGCCTCTTCCGCCTATTCATCTGAATAGTAAAGGCTTGTAAGCAATCATAGTCCTGAGATAACAAAGCAAAGGGAAAAGAGAACTCTGTTAATCTACAACAGGAGTAGGAATAATTCAGCCTTTTGGATATGGTTGGGCTGAGCTTTCAACATGCTTTTCCATTTGTGTGTTGGCTAGAGTTGGTGGAGTTTACAGTCCAGTAATGTTTAGGTGGCTGAATGATTCCAATCCCTTATTAACAGAAAAATATTCCCCTGACCTATTTTGAATATACTTTGTGAAATATGCAATGTATTTTTACATCTCATCACCTGACCTAAATCAATTCTTCCTTGTGTGCGTATAGGCACATGACGGATTTGTGTCTTGAACATGGCATGCAGAGAGTGGAGGAAAGTCTTCCCCTGCATTGCTGCTCCCACCTTTGATGAGCCACAGTTACAAAAGTTACAAAATGCCAAAGTTACAAAATGCCAAAGCTACTTGAGGCTCTGGGATGGACCTAGCAACAGCAGTACCCTAAACTTTATCAAACCTAACCCTTTAATAAAACGTATTAATTTGATGATTTATGTGTAACTTGTATCATTTATGTATTGTGTCAATACTTAGATATGTAAACTGTATCAAATGTATATATCAAACTATATCTTGAAGGCAACTATCTTTCTGAGCCCTCAGTTGCATAATCCCCTGGGAAAGGAGATTATCCCTACACTAGCCTGCCTCTCATTGTTTCCTATGTGGCCAAATCTCATGTAAACTGCCTCACAATGCCAGATGTTGGGATTGTCTCTGGAACCTTCTTATATGTCTACCTGCGAACCAGTAGGAGGGGCAAGAGAGAAAACAGAAAGAATAACTGTGTCAAAAAAGAATTTCCATGAAATGGCTCCTCACAACTGTACACAAGCAAGAGCTAAAGGTATACACAGCATTAGAAACGTACAGCAAGGTTGAATACATAAAGGACTTTCATATGACTCCTGTGTGATACACTAGATTTACTAATTAAAACTGAAGTTTAACTATGCTTTAGCTGATTAAATGATTAGCATAGAATTAATTTTGGGCAAGTGCCTCCCACTGTGGTCATGCAAACCCTGTATATCACCAGAAGCACTTACACAATTTTTGATGACAAATTCTCCACCCTTCATTCAGTGATTGATCTTGGTTGCAAGCAACCCATTTTTCTATACTTGTAAATCTTATTCACCATTAGCAGAAGGAAGCAAGGGAAGAAAGATGTAGGTGAATGACAAACTGAATAGCAGAGATTGTAAGATTAGATTCCATACTTTAGAAAGTCTCCAAACATCAAGTGTTAACAATAACAGATAACAATGCTATTGTATTCCAGGTGAGGGGAGAAAGCCAGGTCGGGGATAGGCAACTATAAGAGGACCAGAAACCAGAGAAGCTCTTCAGAAAAAGCATTCCCCAAAGGTACTTCTTTAATGTGACAAGTTCCATACCATTCTCTGTAAATCTTATGGGTTGACCCCAAACTGATGACTCAGTCAAGATAACTAATAACATCTCAGCTATGTTTAATATTATTGAATTCATTTTCAAATCTAATGTTTGGAACTTGGGGGAAGGAAGTTCTAGAACACAGACTGTAGAAGGTCACTTGAAGCTAAGCTTAAATCTAGCAGGAGACAGTCTTTTGACAGCAGTTGCAGGGCATCCGCTGTTTTGCACCATATGGTGTAGTAACAAAGGCATTTGGTATGGGCAGCCTGTTTAATAGGAGGATGGTTGGGGTGGGGGCAACTGAAAGCTGCTTTAAGTATTGTTTGTAAGTAGCATCAAGGTATTATAAGGATTAGCATGTGTTTCCAGTACAGTTTCTAAGGTCCTGTTGTATCAATACAAGAATTATATTCAATACAAGAATTGCACTCAATTTAAATGTAATTCATTGATATGAATTAAGGGAGAATAAGGGGAAATATTACTACTTGGATGCAGAATTGCTAAGCAATACTGAGTGCTACATGCTATATTTCAGAAGAAGACAATGACAAACTAACTCTCGTATTCTCTGCCTAAGAAAACCCTATGAAATTTGTGGTGTCATCATAGGCTCACAAATTACTGGAATCAGTGTATCCGTGAAATAAGGGCAAGATATACTGAAGGATGTGATTCCCATGATTGTCCCCATTGAAAGCAGAGAACAGTCTGATTGAGATTGGAGGACCTTCTGCGAGTTTCTAAATGGGTGCTGGGGAGGGGAGAATGTGCTGGATCTCAGCAAGACCTATAAAAGAGGTTGTATCTTCCCGATAACACTCCTGCCCTTGCAGTTCCAGTATACTACCACAGGAATGTCTCACTTTAACTGTTTTTGAGAAACAGCCAATATTTCTGCTGGAATCTAGTTCTTCTTGCAATTCTGGCTGGGTTGTATGTGATGAATTGCTGACAGGTGCTGGCATACTTTTTGTTAGTGGAATTTTGTTCATATTTCATATTTTCCGGATATTAAAAGGAAAACAGAATTTTGGCATTCTCTAGTGATACTGAGAACAGAAGGCTGTGTTCTACATTCCCTATCTGGAGTAAAAATGTTGCTGAACAGGTTGGAAACATAATGATCAGATGGGAGGGCAAGTGATAAATGAATCCATCTTTTATTTTTTTGAACTGACCCCTACTAGGAATTCATCCTATCTTTATTAAATAGTTGTAATGGGTAAATGTTTGATATGATTTTATTAAATCTTGTACTTTCATGAAAAGTGCAGTTATCTAGTAATTAGTTATGCTAAATCCTGGTCTTCTTCCAGTGAGTCTTTTATTGTATGATAACCGTGGATCATGGATTGAATTTTTCAGTTGTTCAACACACTATTTGCTTTCATTTGTAAACCCTGTGCTTCCAGTTTTTGTAAAAGAAACAAAACTTCATGAAGGAGGGTGAGGTGGCTTTTGACTGGTTGCACTATGTGATGTCATCTTGAAATTGTAATTAGTAGAATAAACAATTGGTGTGCCGTCGCGCTTGGGGGCTATTAGTCTTTGAAGGAGGATGGACGTGGCATCTTTCCCCCAAGGGATTGCTTCTTGCCCTCCTTTAAGAAACTGGAACTCCCAAGAACCCAAAACGATGTAAATAACTCAAAACAAGTTTTATTTGTCACAAAGTCATTTCTTCAATGCAATAAACTGGAAAACTTTAGCAGGGTGAAGGAAAAACACACTTTACAGTCTCTTTTAGTCCTGGGTCCAAGGGGTTTGAAGCTGAGAAGCTTCACCAAGTTTCCTCTTTCCTCAATGGCTGTGAATGCCGGAGCAAACCACAACCCCAGTTCAGATGGCCTATGTCTTGAAGATTCAGGATCTTCCTCTGGTGCGAAAAGAACTGGCTTGAAGGCGCCTGGGTCTCCTCAATAATTGTCCAGGACGATCTGGACATAAAGCATGAGTCCCAGGGGTAAAAACCTCAGAATTGATGCTAAGAGGTAACTTAAGAGGGTCCTTTTAAGAATGAAGTCTCTTACTCACGTCCATGTTGCAGGAACTCTCATCGCAGAATGAAAGAAAAGGAAGTTCTCCCCTCTTGCAGGAAGAGGTGGAGCCAAACAGTGCTGATTGACAGCTACAAGTAACCAATCCATACAAATATACAGACACATGGCAAAAGGGGCAGGATTAAGCATGATACAACAGTTTAAATCTTACAACTAACAGTTCTATACATAGGTGGCGCCACTCGCGCCGTCACACTCCCGGCCTAGATTTTCGGACTTTCGAAAATCTAAACAAAAATGAAGTTAAACACCTTTAACTTTTATAACTCTAAGACTGTAGGTCTTGTGAAAATAACATAACCATATCGCTAATAGGCCTGTCAAACAAAGAAACCTTTTCGTTTGAAACGACCTTAACTTGGGCCTTGCGCACTCTATTGTCAGAGCTAGGATATAATTTAGACACAATACCCTTAGCCCGTTGGTGTCTAGGAGCGTCCTTTTGTTTAAGTTATTTCTTCTCTGATGGTTTGATTCAACTGAGTAGCTAGGAGAGTGGCACAGAGTTCTAATCTGGGCACTGTAGAGTCCATGGGTGCTACTTTAGCCTTTGACATCACAAATCCTGAAGAGCAGGTACTGATGCCTCTTTGTCTGGCATATGCGACTGCAGCGATGGCCTTGGTGGATGCATTGCAGAATATGTGCAGTTCCATGATCTCTGAAGGTGAGGAACTGTTTGCTATGTACTGTCTTGGCAGTTGTATGTTTTCTAAGCCTTGGGCTTGGCAAGTCCAATTTTTTCATTGTGACATGAAATCTTGGGGAAGCTCTTGGTCCCAGGTGAGCTTGTGCTGGATTGCCTGTTTGAAAAGCAATTTGGCAGAGATTACTACTGGAGACACTATACCCAGTGGATCATGAATGCCATTGATGGCAGACAACATAAGTCTTTTGGAGGTGACTCTGCCCAATTTGGGGGCTCTTAAAGTAAAACAGTCTGTAGCTACATTCCATAACAAACCTAGACTGGTTTGAGCGTTCAAATCTTGAAACAACTTTGATGCATCCTTTTCCACCAAGTCTTCTGGTGGGAAAGCCTGAAGTATCGCTGGACTATTTGAGTTTATTTTGTAAAGATGGATGTTGGCCTTGCTCAACATTTCTTGAATTTCTTTGACTGTCTTTGAAGCTTGCTGCGCAGAATCAAAGGACGTAAGGAGATCATCGACGTAAAAGTTCTGGTTGACAATCATTGATGTTGATTGGCTAAACAAATGGCCAAATTTGTCTGCAGTCTTTTTAAAACAATAATTGGCAACTGCCGGAGACGGAGTGTTACCAAACACGTGAACCCTCATCTGGTATTCGGTCACGTCAGAGAGGGACTCAGTATCTCTAAACCATAAAAACTTCAAGAACCTTCGATGTTCTGGGCGAACTAAGAATGCGTAAAACATTTTGTGTATGTCGGCTATTACTGCATACTTCTTTTCTCTGAACCTTAAAAGAACTCCAAGCAGGCTGTTAAGCAAGTCAGGGCCTTTAAGAAGAACATGATTTAAAGCTTTGCCTTTAAGGCAGAAGATACAGGTTTGAGTTTTAAAGGATGCTAGAGTCTTCATGGAGAAAAGAGAACGGATCTGA